GACTAGTTTGATTCTAAAATTAGAAGCACTGCATTTGATATTGCTGGCTACTTCAGGAATTCAAAATAATATTCCTTTGTGTGGATTACTACATCTATCATACATTTTTTTCCAAGCATGACTGGAATAATTGTTTCACAAATGAACTGAAAAGAATAATAAAGTATATTACTATACTTCTTAAAAGTTAAACTTCATGTTAGAATGAGATAACATTAACCATACAGCTCCAAAATATAGCCTCTGTAAAAGGAATTGGAGAGTAGGAAATCCTTGGTTCCAACTCTGTTGCCATTCAACATTGATTTTGTGGTCAGATATGACTCATCTTTTCACCCCTCCTAAAGGTACCATCCTACTACATGCTCTTCTTATTTTAAAAAGTCCTAGTACAGTTGAGTCTAATACAACTATCCAATATAACTTTCTGCAGTGATGAAAAGGTTCTATTATCTGTGCTGTCCAGTATGACAGACAGGAGGTATGACTGACTAATGTGCTGTCCAATATGGCACACGTGGTTACCGAGCACTTAAAATGTGGCTAGTACAAAGGAAGAACCACATTTTTAATTTTAAATAATTTTTATTTTAATAACTAGTGGCTACCATATTGGAAAGCACAATTCTAGAAAAATTAATAGTACATATACTGTGATTGGTACAGAAGATACATAAAGATCCAAGAAAAACACAATTTCCACTTAAGCCTTGATATTCTAGTCCATATTTCCAAAATTAACAAAACTGTAATTTTGTGTATTACTGATTGTATCCTTGAAAAACTAAGAATTTTAGCAATCTTTATTCTTCTTACCTGGGAAATAAGTATTCATTTCATGAAAGTCTTAATTTTCATAGCTTCAATAACACTGCATTACCTTAGCTCATGTCAATTTGTTTTCTTTTTGTGTATATAATCTTATCCACTCCCCCAACTATAGGATTTTCTTTGTTGCATCTTTGGTTTCTTGTTTTCTTTCTTCTATTCAGAAGAGATTTCTTATAGTTTCAACTATGAATCCTATTTGCTTTCTGTGAGATGGCATTACCTCACTATATAACCTTAAGGACATCATTTAACCTAAGACTGCTTCTCATTTGTGAAATAACTTATATAGTTACTATGGTTCCCTCTGATTTTATATTAATTCTAGTACAGGCCTAGTTATTGACTTTACTTTTTTTTTTTTTTCCAGCCCGATTCCTCTTCCCACCTTTTAAAATGACCCCACAGTTGTCAGTGATCAGCTTTTCCACTTTCTACACTCTTTCTCCAAGAGTCTTATAAACTCTCACTATGGCTCTCTTGAAGTTATGCTGTAGCCCTTACTTCACTCTAAATTTAAGCCTCCAGATTTATGTTCTCTACACAATCACTGTAGCCAGACCAATGAACTATACTGATTGGTCATTAGCTAGGCCTGAGCCATGTGCACACTTTTGTGTCAGGGTGGGATTCATCTGAGAGGGGTGGCTCCCGAAGAAAATTGGGGTATTGTTATCAGACAAAAGAGGAATGAATGATGGACTGGCAAAAATTAACTGATATCCCCTATGCTCTAAAACATTTTGCATGCTGTCCACCATGCCTTCTTGTTTCTGCCTACCCAAATGCAAGTTATATCCTTTCCGCTCCAAAAAGTCTTCTGTGATTTTTTTCTAAGATTTTCCTAGTCTTGCACATACATATCAAGAAAATAGAGAGATCACAAGTAAACAGCCTAATGTCACATCTAAGGGAGCTGGAAAGGCAAGCACATTTAAATCCTGATTTCAGAGAAAAATCCAGATTACTAAAGTAAAGTCACAATTGCAGGATATACAAGATTTTCCTTGTCCACTGGATCAAGTCACTCATTCCCAAATACATATTTCCTCTTTTCCTAAAGATTTGCCTATTTTTAATTTCTATTTATTTTCAAAATCTTTTTTATACAGACAGAGTCTTGCTATGTTGCCCAGGCTGGTCTCAAATTCCTGACCTCTAGTAGTCTTCCCACTTCAGCCTCCCAAAGTGCTGGGATTACAGACGTGAGCCAACATGCCCAGTTCAAGATCTATCTATCTTTTTTTTTTTGAGTTGGATTCTCACTCTGTCGCCCAGACTGGAGTGCAGTAGCTCGCTCCCCGCCACCGCAGCATCGACCAGCTGGGCTCTGGCGATCCCTCCGCCTCAGCCTTCCAAGTAGCCGGAACTACAGGTGCAAGCTACCATGCCAGGCTAATTTTTTATTTATTGTAGAGACGAGGTCTCACCGAGTTGCCTGGATGGATCTCAAACCCGTGGGCTCAAGTAATCCACTCGCCTTGGCCTCCCAAAGTGCTGGGATTACAGGCTGAGCCACCAAGTTGGACCTGATCTATCTTTCTAGAGAAACAAGACAAAGGCAGAAAGCTTCAAGAAAATGTTCCTGATAAATTCTAATCATGTCTAATGATAAATTAATAATATATGCTGTTTCCTAGGATATAAACTGTTGAAGGATTAAGAGCTCTACCATGTACATTCTACACACTAGAAAAGAACAGTCTGTAAGGCAACTTTGATATACACATACAGCATTCAAATTATTTTACTTGGCTTTACATGTTCTATAAGGTCAGAGCAAAACATTTTAGCTACCATAAGTTGGGTCTGAATTACCAAAGTACCTGTATTAAAAAACTACTATGAGTTTTGGAGTTACCTCAAACAAGGCTGAAATCCTGGCTGATACTCTCTTCTCTGTTCTTTAGCCACAGGTCTTTGAGCAAATTACTGAACATCTCTAAACCTTGGCTTCCACTATATGTACAAGCAGGAATAGTAATACCTATTTGTATATGAAGAAGCTGCGTGATATAGTGGAGAGAACAGAGTTAGACGGACCTGGGCTGAAATTCTACCACTAAAACTAGCTATATGACTTTTTCTGAGTGATTCCTCACATGTAAAGTAGGGATAATAATATTTCATTCATGAATGTTGTGTGCATTTAAAAGGCAATGTATTTTAAAACACCTAAAACAATGAATAGCAAATAGTGAACACTCAACAAATGAGGCTATCAGCATTAATTTATTATTTAAAATAACTCAGAGACTGTGTTTTTGTACTAATTACCAAGATCTGCCTCCAATTTTTTCAACTTAGTGATATTGTACATGTTTGAAATGAATCTAAGCTTATAAAAATACCCTGTAGATCTCTTTTCTATACTTTTTGACCAAATAAAATATCAACAAAAAATCTGGTTTATATAGAAATTATTAAAGTGTTGTAATGTCATACTTAAAAATTCAGAAAAACTTCTTTGGGATTACTTATTATTCTTCATAAATGCCCTAGGTTTTCTTTGTTAACTAATAAAATATTTTCTAAAGGCTCAACATGTTGCTCCTAGAACTACTTAAAAGCAAGTAAGATAATGAGCTGGTTAGACTCCTGTAATCAACTTGTTCTTTAGCTTCAGGCTTGATGTAGTAATGACTCATACCACTGTGAAATCACAACACTGTATAGCTATCTCCTGAACAGAATCAGAAAATCTGGGGTACAAATGACAATTTTAGATGCTATTAGAGCACATGTAAAAGACAAGTGTCTGTTTATATTACCTTAGCAAGAAAGTTTAATATAATTCACTAAAAAAATACAAATTATATTCATTACAACTGTCTCCAAAAAAAGATAAAATAAGCAGGCATTTAAATTCTTCCATTTTAAACTGTAGCAAAAGTTTCTTTAGAAAGAATAGTTTCTTGAAGTAGTTTAGCAGCTCTGTTTATTTTTCCACCATGAGTGAATCATATGCAATACTTATCAATCTTTAAGGAGTGTACAAACATAGAAAAGGTATTAAATCTAAGATTTTAAAATAAACACAACAAATATAAGATCTCGATTACTACATATTCTTTAGTTTATGTTGTGTTGCAAAAACACTATATGAAAATAAAATATTTAAGTACATCACATTATACAAACTTGTTTAAGGGATTTTTCCTTTGTATTTGTGTAAAACATGAATAGACTCAGTTTTTAATCTACTCCCTGAGGAAGCTATTTTTTAAACACAAGAAAAACATTATTATTTGGAACACCTCAATCACCAGACATTGTTTTCTACAACTAAGAAAATCAAATAATACCTAATTCCTTGTTCTCTTTCCTGTGTTCAAAAATTTGTATAACACAACGTAATGGTTTAAAAAGGGAAAGCACATCTAGATATGGTAGACAATCTATCATTCCTAAGTAGTTTTTTTCTTCCTTTCAAAAAAAAAAATTTTTTTTTGAGGACATTGGGGTGGGGGGAGGAAAGTAATGGGAGTCTGAAGGTGGGCTGTAGTTCTTTCTATAAGAACACGTATTTGGTAAGGCAACTGATGAAGGCGGAGGAAGAAGTTGCAGCGTTTGGGTTCACATTAAACACACACACACACACACACACACACACACACACAATCTCGCACACCCCAAAATTAAACACACACACACACACACACACACACACACACACACACACACACACACAATCTCGCACAACCCAAACTCCAAGGCTAAGATCGATCGTGCGCTGCCAATGCAGCCTCCAGAGACACCCCTGCGACTCTCATCTATTCACAGCACGCGCTACGTTCCCAAGTCTTAGCAGAGAGTCAACTCGGCATCCCAAATCTGAAAGGGCCTGCGGATGCCAGGGCGGGGTGAGGGTCTACCTCAGCAGTGGCAGAAGCTGACTTCCCAGGAGAGACTAAAAAACCACCCACCGATCCGCTCCGGTCCCCTTCGCGGAGAGAAGCTGCCGACCGCGCCTCGCCCCAGGCTCGGGTCCGGCCCGCAGGCCCAGAGGGCAGGATGGGTTGGGGCCGTTGGCTTCTCCCCGTTACTCGGGTCCCGACGGGAGCCTATGGGACCAGCGGCTGCCACCACCCCCGCACCTCCCTGCCCAGGCTGGGCGGCCTCCCCCGGCGCCCGGGTCTCCTGCGGGTAGCGATGCCCCCCGCCCCGCTCACCCGCCCGGGTGGTGTCCGTCAGGTCGTGGTTGGCCGCTCCCCGGGGAAACTCCCTCAGTTTCCGGCCGCTCAGGCTCAGCACCCCGGTCACCGCCGCCTCCTCCAGGGCCCGGTCGAGAGAACGGCTCCAGGAGCCTGGGCCGGGACCAGGGCCCGCCCCGGAGCTCGGGCCGCAGTTAACGGCGGAGAGGTTACTCCCCGACGCTACTGGGCCAGAGTACTCGGCAGCCGCTGCCACAGCGACCAAGCCCGCGGCCGCCATTTCCAGCCGACACCTCTCCGGCCCGCCAGCTCGGCGCATGCGCGGCCAGAACAGCCGGGTGGGCGGGGAAAGGGCTCACCGACCCCCGCCGGTTCTCTGGATGGGCAGCGTTGTGGTGCCCAGGCGCTTGCTCCCGCCCACGTCGAGGGCTTCGAGGGCAATTAAAGCGGACTTCAGAAACCTGCAGCAGCCCCCTACTCGAAGACTCCCTCTAGCATTTCTACAGTGACTCTACCAAAGTATCTTTCAGACAGCTGCCCTCGCCAGAACTACTCTGCCTTCCTCCCTTAGTAGCTGAGGATTACGCGATAAATTAAGTCTGTTGCTGCCAGAAACTTGGCGATGAGAGGAGGGGACCCTCTGGAACACTTTAAACGTTTCCCAGCTTGTCATTGTATTAACAGATGATTTAAATCGAGACTTGTGGATTGACTATTATTGCTTGAGGGACAGAGGAAAAAACCCCACAATTTGGCTCCAGACTCCATAATTCTCATTGAAAGGGTTATATAAATATTTTAGGCTCTCCCTTTTATAAAATAGCTCTTCTTAATGAAAATAAAACAAACATCTTCAGTAGTACTTGTCCTTTAGGCAAGATTTTATTGTTGTTGGATAACGTGAGATGAATAGCATTAAAGTCTAAAGTTTTGGTCTGGAACCAAAATTAAGGAAGAGAATGATCTTCTGAACATAATCGAAATGGGGGAATTAAAGGTGAAACCAAAGAAATGATCAAGATTGAAGCCACTCAGGTAATAAAAAAGAGGAAAATACTTCATCTAAAATCAATTAGATTCACTTATATTGCAACCAGTGCATGGCATATTCTTCTATATTCTTTTACTTTACTGAAGAAGTCATTCTTGCTGTATAATGTAAATTTCTGTGGGTAACAGAAGAAACAGATACAGTCTTTTTCCTAAAGGACTGTAACCTAATAGTGGGATCCAGATGGACAGGCCAATAAGGGAATGAGGTAACAACAAAAAAGGACTATCAGAATTGAGAGAAAAGGAATCTATACCATGAATGAATGAGGTTTTAAATTAGTCTTGAAAGATTATGAAGTGGGACAGGATGGAAGGTGAGAGCAAAATTGCAGATTAGAAGATGGATCACATCCAGATATTTATAATGGTACAAGGTGGAGGACATTAAAACCACAGACCAGAAAGTTCATGTCAGAAGCAAAATAAAATAAGGCTGGAGAGACACTAGCCATCAACTACCCATCAAGACCCAACTCTTCGATGAAAGTTTATTAGCATTTTCCTGAATTCCAAAGTGCAAGAACTTATAAAATTATTTAATATCTTGGGTATATGATTAGCAGCATATACCCAAAAAGTCATTCTATAGACTTTTTTTGAGTCGGAGTCTCACTCTGTCACCTCTGACTAGGGTGCAGCATCACGATCACCGCTACCGTAGCCTCAATCTGTTGGGCTTAGGTGATTCTTCGCCTCAGCCTCCCAAGTAGCTGGGACTACAGGCATGCACCCCACCACACCTGGTTCATATTTTATTTATTATAGAGACAAAGTCCCGCCATGTTGGCCAGATTAGTCTCCAATCCTGGGATTCTCTAGACAATCCTCTCGTCTCCGCCTCCAAAGTGCTGGTATTACAGATGTGAGCCACAGAACCTTGCTTATAAACTCTCAACGATACATTCTAGTTTCTTCAGCAATGAGTTCACTGATAAATTATCAATGTCTGTTAAAAGTATGGGTCACAATAGCAGGTGATGTATTTGTCATCCCTGGCAAAAAACATTTAGTCAATGAATGTATAGGATTTTATTATTCTGGTATTCCTAAAATTGTTTGATTATTCTTAAAAAGATACTAAGCAAGCTGGGCTCGGTGGCTCAGCCTGTAATCCCGCGCCTTTGGGAGGCTGAGGTGAGTGAATTGCCTGAGCCCGCGGGTTCGAGACCCGCCTGGGCAGCGAGACCTCATCTCTACAATAAATAAAAAAATCAGCCGGGCATGGTAGCGCATGCCTGTAATTCCGGATACTTGGAAGGCTGAGGTGGAAGGATCACCGGAGCCCAGCAGGTCGAGGCTGCGGTGGCCGGGAGTGGTCACTGCACTCCAGTCTGGGCGACAGAGTGAGACTCCAACTCAAAAATAAAAAATAAATAAAATTTAAAAATATATTAAACTATTTAAGAGCAGGACCTCATTTGTTTTGATTTTTTGGAGACAGGGCTTCATTCTGACCCAGGTTAGAGGGCAGGGGCGCCATCCTCACTCACTGCAGCCTCAACCTCCTGGACTCAAGTGCTCCTCCTGCTTCAGCCACCCAAGTAGCTGGGACTACAGGCACACACCACCACACCTGGCTTTTTTTTTTTTTTTTTTTGAGTTGGAGTCTCACTCCACGGCCCAGGCTGGAGTGCTTAGCTCCAGCAATCCTTCTGCCTCAGCCTTCCAAGTAGCCGGAACTACAGGCGTGTGCTACCATGCTGGCTAATTTTTTATTTACTGTAGAGAGGAGGTCTCACCAAGTTGCTTGGGCTGGTCTTGAACCCCGCGGGCTCAAGCAATCCTGGGCCTCCCAAAGTACTGGGATTACAGGCTGAGCCACCTAGCCCAGCCAACTTTTAAAAAAATTTTTTGTACAGTCGAGGTCTGTGTTGCCCACGCTGGTCTTGGACTCCTGGGCTCAAGCAATCCCTCCTCCCCCAAGCCTCCCAAAGTGCTAGGATTAGTCATAAGCCAGCACCATTTGATATCTTTGAGAGAGATTTCAGTTACAATGTCTAAGAATATATTCATATATTTATTCCATATTAGCAAGTTGCCAGATGTATGTTTTCAAATGCACCATTTCATCACATAATGATTGCCTATTACCTTCCACACTTACTGCTAAGTTCTTATAAATTCTCTGTAATACAGCCTCATTCTTCCTATCTACATATACATCCCATTGTAATTGCAATGTACTATGCTAATCCTGAACTGACCAAGTTTATATTGATGTTAGTTTGTCTATTGAACAAGATTTTAAGGTCATTAATATATTAAACTCCATGCTATAAATCTTCCAAATCCTAGGGCTGAGTATATTAATAGGTGTTTATAAAAACAAGCAGGGCATGTGTGCCTATAATCCCAGGTACCCAGGAGGTTGAAGCAGAAGAATCACTTGAACCAAGGAGTTCAAGGTTACAGTGGGCAATGAGCATGCCACTGCACTCCAGCCTGGGTGACAGAACAAGACCCTGTCCCTAAAATATGAATAAAAATAAAAAAAATAGTAAGGATAAGTGGAAAGCAGTAGAGATGGAAGACAAGTTACGTACTAACAGAAGAGAAGGGTAGAAGGAGAGAAAAAAGAATCATGGTTTTAAATTTTTTTTAAACAATAGAGATAGTTTCCTTCTTCCTGTGCCTCCCAGACTGGTCTCAAACTCCTGGCCTCAAGCAATCCCCCCACCTTGACCTTACAAAGTGCTGGTATTACAGGCATGAGCCACTTTGTGGAGAGCTCACCAAAGATTCTAGTGATGAATAAAAGAAATAATGAAATAGTTGCAAAATGGCTGAGAGTAAAAAGACTATAGGGGTCTGTAACTTACTCTACCACAGGTCCATGTTCTGGGAGCAGAAGTTGAAAAAACAGGCAGTGGGAGCTATTCAGTGTTAGGAACTGATACAGTGAACTTCCCTGCCTCTTCCTGTTTATTTTACAGGCTGAAAGTAACTCATTCAATACTAGGGGCAAAAGTTTTACTCAAATCTCCAGCTCTTCATTTCACTCTAACATGCAGAAACGAAGTCCCCTGCCCCCTACTCCCTTTCTACTCAGCACACATATATTAGCATCACTCATCTTAAGACTACACACTTTTATAAACTCAAAGCAGAATGATTAAAATCTAGAAAAATTCCATTCTCTTCCAATGTAAAAGCACAGAAACTGATGTGTGGAATATATTCAGTAAATGTTTGGTCCTTCCCTTTCTCCTTTAATAAGAAGCAGAATAATTGACCTTTTAAAACTTTATACAAGACAAGAAAATTCAGACAATGTGATTTTCTTCTCACTAAAGGAAAATTGAAATGGAAGCAGAAATTAAAGACACAAAAAAATCGCTTCCTATTCATCTTTAAACATCGGTGTACCTTATCTGAATACACTCAGGACAAGAAATTTCAGTCTCAGAACAGCATCATGTTTGCTTGTGTTATCAAGCTTTTTGTTATAGATTTCAAGTAGAAGAGAAACTGTAATGGTGGGGGGAGAGACATCAGAACTCTGTAATTTCCAAGTAAATCTTTAAATCTCTATTAATAGTCCATGATAGTCCAAAATGCTTGTTGTAAATGCTCAGGGTTTATTAAAGTATCATTTTTTAAAAAGGACTAACAATTTGATCAATTATTTACCCCTCCCCCCAAAAAAACCTCTCTTTAAAGGGAAACTTAAATCACATGTCTAATTTTGCATAGTGTCCAAAAACAAAAAAACAAAAAACCCCCAAATAATCATATACTCTGATAAAAGTTGCAAGGGACCACTGATTAGAAATGAAATCATTTTCTACTTTAATATTGACTGAATTTGCAATGTATGGTATTCATTCTGTATAGTGCCAAGTGAGCTATTTTTCCTCTTATCTCCTCAGTAAAAATAAATCAGAACAAAAAAACCCTAGAATTTTGAGGTTCAACAACTAAGTTCATGAATTCACTCTAGAAAAAGTACTACATACCTCATTGCTGAATAGCGCTATGGTCACCTTCGAAACACCAACACCTAGCCCACCCGTCAAAGCAATTTTGGAACTCTTTTTTTAGAATGGCCATCAGAGCCATCATCGCATTACCCTTGATGTCCTAAATGTCTTCAAATGTCTTCCTTTCAATTATTTAATTTATCTTCAGGTAAAGAAAAAAGTCATTGGGGGTCAGATCAGGTAAGTAAGGAGGGTGTTCCAATGCAGTTATTTGTGCTGTCAACATAAGCGCATGGTGGCAAGTTCACAACTTGTCAGACCTCAACAAATAACGATGACAGCTCTGATGGACATTCCACAAAAAGAGTTCCAAAATTGCTTTGACTGGTGGGCTAGGCACCGGCGTGGGTTCACAGCTTCCCAAGGGGAATACTTCAAAGGTGATCATAGTGATATTTAGCAAGGAGGTATGCAGCACTTTTGCTAGGATGGTCCATGAACCTAACTGTCAGACCTCGTATCTGTTGTGTGAATTATAAAGCTACTAATAGGAAATTATGATGATATATGTACCTATTCTAGGTACAACAAAAACAAGGCAACTGGGCAATGAAGCCAATAAAGTATTTTATGACTGGCTTATATAGTCGACCCTTGAACAACATGGGTTTGACTGAACTGCTCACGTCTATTTATACACTTTTTTCCTCCCAACCAACTTAGATTTCAGGGTAGTAAGCCTGTGTACACAGAGGACTGACTTTTTGTGCAGGCAGGTGCAGGACTAGAGCATGAGCAGACGTGGGATACCAGGGGGTCCTAGAACCAATCCCCTGTATATACCAAGGGATAACTTTAATGTCTGACTAAGAACACTGGCCTTTTCTAATAGGTCTGTCTAACTTGAATACCAAAGTAATTAAGTATCATAATCATCACTGGCAGAGTAGATTTACTTACCATGTTGTAAATGCTAAAGCACCACTATAACAAATTCTTAGATAAACCACAATTCTCTGACAAATCACACACCATTCCACTACTTTCTGTGGGTGTTCAATTCACAGAAGCAGTTTATTACCAATTAAGAATTAGAAGATCTGAGCCCCAAAAATGGCTCTGTCACACACAAGTCTTGAAAATGTTGGGACTCACTTTACTAAGATGTAAAAAGAGGGATTAAACTGCACGATCTCTAAAGACTCATCTAATCTAATATTCCACATTGTAAGTAGATTTGATTCCTTTTCAAATTCTTCCTGGCTACCTCCTTTTGGAGCTATGGATGAAATCACCAAAAGGCAGTTAGAAGGATGCTAATAGGAGAATTCAGATTCATTTATCAATCTAACTAGTAGATAACTTTTCAAACCCTAAAAATTACAAATATAAATAACCACTACAAAGCTCTTTATAACATGGTACAATCTTAAAACCACAACTCAATCTTTATAGCTAAGAATAAATCATGTGAAACCTGTAACATTTTATTTGTTAAAAATGAACAGCTTCAGAATAGATCTAAATGTAACTTGTCCAAAAAACACCAAAAAGTACAGTGTAAAGCACCTCCTCATTAAATACAAACTTTCATTTTGTGATGCACTGCATCAATGTTTCTCATATACCTTGATGCAAAGAAAATTTTAAGTTGCATCCTGTTTAAAAAAAAACAAAACAAAAACTTTAAGAACTGAACAAGGATGTTACTAAAACTACATCTGAAGAAAGGAAATTTTCCTCCAACAAAGCATATTGTTATGTTTATATACAACATGTGAGCACTCAAGAATTTTAATTTAGTTATACCAAAGCCAAAATTCTATACTTAAAAAGAAAATTACAGATGCATGAAGAGCAAAAATGCAATATACCAAAGACACTTTGATATTTTGATGCACTTGATGTCAATATTTGGGGCAATTTTTAAGTTTTTAAAAAAATGGCATTAATGAGAGCTCTGTACAATATTTAAAACATGAAATGAAAACACCTTTATACCATATTTTCACAAATTGTTCTAAAGACAGCAAACTCGTGCTCAGTTGCTTTTCCTTTGCTTTATAATAAGCTACCAGAAATTCTAAACCAGTCAAAAATGTATTGTTCCTGGACCAAATATAGCATTTATACTTGCAAAAATGTCTTGCAATGAGTCCTTGGTCCATATGAAAAGCATCACAGCTAAGAAGAGACTAAAGTTTATTTTCAAATTCTGTGACTGACTTCCAATAATCCCTTAACAGTGGAAGAACTGGTAAAATATTAAGGACCAGATTTAATTCTTTGGTATAAGCATGAAACAGTTATTGATAGCGTTCCATGGCTAATATAAACCAATAAGTAACCCAAGAAGCATGAGCAACAACAATGAAGTCTAGTATACAATGCAAGGCTGGCAGGAGTGATAATGTTTTGTTTCACAGGAAATGTCAACACTAATAATATACTCCAAAGAAACTAAGGCCTACTTAAAAATTTTAACATTATAGTAAACTAAAATGTCAAGCTTCAAAATAACCAAACTTGTAACTTGTAGCTGGAATATTTTGCTGCATTTTGGCATTATGCCATAATTTAGAGTATACATCTATCTGAGGACTCAGCATATCTTGGCACAACAGACTTACTCGAGTACTCCCACCTTCACAGAGCAAGGGAAAAACCCTTTTCTCTGCATATATGTCTGAACTTAATGACATACACGAAATCAGAGTGAAAAGTACACAACAAGGTTATAATGTAACTCTATTATACTTTTGCATTTTCTTCTTTGTGACATATACAAGTATATTTTTGTTTTCGGAGCTATAAAGTATTCAATTTAGTAAGTTGCAAAAAGCTCATAAATTTTAACTTTTCAAATAAGAAAGTTTAGGACTTTGTAGCTATTAATTTTACTATCAAAATATCCAAGGGACTCGATCCATTTGAATAATTATAACTCTTCTAAATATCATTTGAAGAATTCTTTGTGGACATTAGACTGAAGACTACACTAAATCCACACAGCATACCTATGACCTGAGTTTTGAAGTTTTTCATCTCAGTTACCTGCCCTTCAACATGCTACTTCCTCTGAACATTAACTATTAGATTTTTAAATTAGACCTTCTCTTCCAAGGCCCTATCAGATAACTTTGTAAATATGCATTTACAACCTTTAAATGCCAACATTTTAAACTGAGACTAATGTCTAAAATCACATTTCTTGCTAAAAGTTTGGTACAAAAGATTTACAATTCTGGGGGATTAATCTAACACTGCCTGAAAAATGAACCATGTTCCAGATATTTCCATAAATCTTAAATCCAGAAACTGTAATTCTATTAAGTGTTTAAAATATGTCTAATGAAGTAAAGGCAACTGCACCTACTACAACTCTATTAAAGGACAGCAACAAAGGGACCTACTCATATTTCTGAAGACCAAGATTTACCATGGAAAAGTCTAAAAAATGGGCAAAGGCGATGAGATCCTAAATACCACTATCATAAAAATAATCAATTTCAATCTCTCTGTCTTCCTTCTGCTGCATGAGGAACCAAAGAAGTCAAATAGAGAATTGTTCTGCCTGGGTCAACCAAAACATTTTTAAGAACAGATAGGCATATTCCCTGTTATTCTTTCAGGGTATTATTTTATACATGTTTTTAAAAAAACATCAAAAATAAAAATAAGAGTTATTTAGTCTTGTGAATTTTTTGAAGTAAAGTTTCTTGAATTTCTGTAATGAACAATTCAACTTTTTCAAACAGAGTCATCACTCAAAAGTCCCTTTGACATGGGATCTATCCCACAGTTACAAAGCGGCTTCCCCCTTTGTTGAATGTGAGAGTGGTTCTTTGTTCCTTCAGGATTCCAAACCGCTCATTCAAAGTCATCCCTGTCTAGAAAAAAGAAAAAAAAGCAATTAACAACTTTACTGAAAGCTGTATGTGTTGCCGAACAATAATGTGATCTTACAATTAATAGTAATTAATAAAAACAGGTAACATTTCCTAAATATTTATGTACATGACTGCCTATAAACCCTACATTATACTATATAGTGTAATGCCTACAAGTACACTGCCACCAACTCTAGTGATACCCCTGATAAAAGAGAATTGTTTAGACCTCTAAATATTTTGAACAAAATTTTCTTTAATTTCTGTTGAGTCTAACACAGAAATTCAAATGGAAATCTGGTTTTTGACTAACAACTAATAGCACTTCCAAATCATATGCTTCACCATTTCTGGGGGAAGGGGGAGTAAGTAACAAAATTAAAATAAGCAAAATAAATTTGGTGAAATTTCTGTCCATACTTCTTATCTTCAATTCTAGATTCTTGTCTCAATGGATACCAAAAAAGTATCTGACAAAATCTAATACCCATTCATATTAAAAATTCTCAGCAAATCAGGAATAGAAAAGAGCTTCCTCAATCTGACAAAGGGAATCTACAAAAAACCTACAGCTAACATCATACTAAATGGTGAAGCATTTAATGTAAGGCATGCATACAAGCATACATCTCACCACTTCTATTCAACATTGTACTGGAGGTCCTAGCCATTATAATAAATGAAGAAAAAGAAAAGGTTTAAAGACTGGAAAGGAATTTGGAGAATGACATAATTGCTTACATAGAAAATCCTAAGAAATCTACAAATTCACTACAAAAGTTAGTGAATTTAGCAAAGTCAGAGGATACAAGGTTAATATAACTGTCAAAACCACAGTAAGATACCACTTCACACCCACTTGGATAGCTATAGTCAAACAGCAGATAACAGTCAAGTATTGGCGAAGCTGGGAGAAATTAGATGCTGGTGGGAATGTACTCATAGATGCTCATAGATGCTGGTGGGAATGTACTCTGGCAGTTCCTCAAAAAGTTAAATACAGAGTTACCATACAACCTAGCAATTCCACTTCTAGTTATTTATCAGAAAAAAACGAAAACATATGCTCATGCAAAAACTTGTACCCAAATATTCAGAGCAGCATTATTCATAATAGCTAAAGAGTGGAAAAAACTCAAATTCCATTAACTGATGAATGAATAAATAAGATGTGGTATATACATACAATGAACATTATTCAGTAATAAAGAGAAACGAAGTACAATATGGATGAACCTTGAATAATGTTAGTTGAAAGAATTTAGTTACAAAGATCACATATTGTACGAGCCAATTTAAATGAAATATTAAAACAGGCAAATCGAGAAAGACAAAAGTGGTTGCCTACATTTGTGGTTAAGATATTCTGTTTAGTTCACTACATAACAACTGTTTTCTTAACCAAAATATTTTCAGTGAATGACCCAGTGAAATATAAAAAACTTTTTTTTTTTTTACCTGCTTTCCAACACTGTTTATGTCAAATTGTAGGGGGACACCTTTAGGAACTTTCTTTACATCAGACTGCTCCCGTTTTGTTAAGAATGAAGGTACAGCAGTACGAGTTAATCGTGGTTTCTGAGTTCTATTAGAAAAATATTAAAATATCAAATACCAGCTTAACAATCAAAAGAAGAAAAATATAGCATTTGTTACTTTTGGCATCTTGGATTGCACACATGTTCAAATATATTACAGCTATTTGTGTTCTCAAAAAAAATAAGTGCCTGGCTCTTGACCGACTACTCTAGACTAAAATATATAATCATTAACAGAATATCTTTTTTTTTTTTTGAGTTGGAGTCTCACTTTGTCACCCAGGCTGGAGGGCAGTAACACGCTCACAGCCACTGCAGCCTCGACCTGCTGGGCTCAGGCAATCCTTCCGACTCAGTCTTCCAACTAGCTGGAAATACAGGCACATGCCACCATGCCCAGCTAATTTTCTGATTTATTGTAGAGAGGAAGTCTTGCCAAATTGCCCAGGCTGGTACTGAACCCCTAAGGGCAGGCAATCCTCTCACCTTGGCCTCCCAAAGTGCTGGGATTATAGGTATGAGCCACCACGCCCAGCAACACAAAATATCTCCTTAAGTGGAGCTACCAACTTTTCAACAAATTTGATTTCCAAGTCTTGATCTTCTACTAAAATAAAGCAACCTCTGACATCTTAGAGACCCACTCAACATTCTTTTCATTTCAATAATTAAGATGGCTAGATAGATCATAAGCTTTGTAAATCTACAAAATTTATAATACAATAAATTTAAAGAGTAGGTCTGTATGGTCTGAAAGGTAAAGATACCTAAAATATTATGGAGGTGTGGGGGGAGCAGTAGTATGCATAGTATCATCTGATGTATTATTATATATCCATAAAAATATACATATTGTACAGAATTTTAAACATATAAATATAAAAGAATTTGGTAAAAATATTTATTTGGGCTATAGAACTAGGAATTCAAGGGAGCTTTTACTTTTAACTTTACACTGTACTGTTTCCATATTGTATCACAAGTATTACCTTTATCCTTGCATCTCAGTTTATACTAACTTGGACATCATACTCTGAGCTGAAGTCTAATGCTTTTCTATTATCTCATAGAGGTTATAATTTTTGCAAAAAAAGACAACTTACACTGGGCATTGCACTGCTCCAGGATTGTCAATAGATACAGTCAAAATTCCTCCATTTGTGGTGGAAGTCCGCCATCTAATTTCAAAAAAACCCAAACATTTCATTAAAATGCAAGCTTACTAATCTTACATACAGCTGACATAAGAATACACATTTTTGAAATATATATTTATTCACATCTATGTATAGAAAAAAATATAAAGTAGCTATTACTTTCTCTTAACTTTTAAGAAATAGATACCTGAACCCCACCATCATATAAAGAATCAGCATCTTAGGTACAGAAACTGGGCACTTGAGTAATAAATATATGTACAATTTAAAAAATTTAAAAATACAGAACAGCTTCTAATAAAAAACATTACCTCACCTCACTATTCACCTCCTTCCCATTCCTGCTCCCCAGAGGTAGCACTTTTAACCTTATCTATTCTTACTGCTTTCTAGTTAGTTTCAGTTCACTAAATAAGATGCTTATGTAGTAAAATCTTGCTGTGATGAATGAATAAAGATTTGGTTCATCACATTATCCTCCAGCTTCTCTATCTACCTCTAAACATTTTGATGTCTAGGTCACTATTTTACTTCCACTGCAATTTTAAATACTTAAATCTCCATTTCTTTCAGTAGCATCTCTTGACACCCTCCTAATTTTGTATGAGAGGATAGCAGCACCTCTATTCTTTCTACCTCTTCTCCCACTTTGTACCTTCCACTTTTTGTCAGCTTTACTTTATATTTACTTTAGTCAAAATCTGACGTTCATGTTATATTTTCTGTTATTTTGGGCTTTATCTACAGATTGATACTCAAAGTTCAAAACAAACAATATTTATGTTGTCACAATTATGTAAATATTGTCCAATGCAGAAGCAGATAGGCCATGACTATTATTTTCTTCCTATGGTTTCTAATGTCATCACCCATGTGCTAAAGTATACTACTGCCAGCATGTGCTAAAGTATACTACTGCCAGCATCAGTTTCAAATAGTTTTTTTTTCTTATAAGCTAATCGCTCAAAATCATGCCCTTCTGTTAGTAGCATCATATCTGGACCATGACATGTTTTATAGTTGGCCCTCTATATCTCCGGGTTCTGTATCTGTGGATTCAACCAACCACAGATTGAAAATGATCCATGGTTAAAGAGGGCTGCCTGTAAGAGGCATGAGCATCTGAAGATTTTAATATCTTCAGTGGTCCTCAGACCAATCCCACCTGGATATGGAGGGCCAACTATGAGTGTTGTTTTCTAAAAAGTAGTTTAATCTCAAAGCCTGATCACACTGATGGGATTAGAATGTCACAATCACACTTGGGAAGTCCAATTGTTAACAGACAAAAAGAGATTATTATGAGTGTTTTTATAGGAGTTAGGAAAAATAGATTATGTGAAAGAGAAAAATATTGTTAAGTTTTATACATTTTCCAAAAGTGCTACTGAATTTCTTCTATTCATTCCCTAGATAGTTCATTTGTATAAAAGCAAAATATAGTCAAAAATAAAATGAAATTTTAAAGTGTCATTAAAATTTAGAAAATTAAAAAATAAAAATAACAGAGTAATGTCCTTGGTGCTAAAACTGTTACAACATTAACGTGAAAATTAATGGTTTTGGGGGGGATCAGAATAGGATTTATTTACTTCAGGCTCAATTAAAAAAATTTTTTTTAGAGATGAGATCTTGCTATATTGCTCAGGCTCGAGTGAAGTGGCTATTCACAGGCAAGATCACAGCACACCACAGCCTCAAACTTTGGGGCTCAAGCAACCTCCTGTCTCAGTCTTCTGAGCACCTGGGACTACAGGTGTGCACCACCATGCCCGGCTTTCAGGCTCAACTTTATTTTGGGTCTTATTTAATTTCTTTTGGACTAAGGCACAGGGTAATTTGGGTAGTTAGTATTCTGGGAGTTTTAAAATTACATCTTGAAAAACAAATTGAAACTTACTGACGAGTTCTCTTTGCTACTACATCGTCTAGCAGTTGTTCTGTGTTCAACTGGGCCTGAACCTGAAAGAAAAAAAAAAGTAGTAGATCCCACAGAAAGCAGAGGATTTGAATTCAAAGAGCTATCCTATTCTGTAATTTTATAACCCAGCATGGTGTGTGCATGAATGCAGGAAAGAGTCCTGGGCTATTCTGGCAACATTTCTCTGTGGGGATTCCTGTATTAGAACAAGTGGCAGATACAGGTTTATTCCTAAATAACATGTTAAATTCCTATAAGATGGTGCTTTTAAGGGCAACAAGACAGGAAATAGAAAAAATATAACAGAAAGAACTAATCTAATGTCATGTTATTCACACCCCAATCCTGCCTATGATTGAAGATTACTGTAGGTGGCTGCGCAGGATCCTCTGTGGGTAAAACTAAAACACCACAAAAGTTTTTTGGGGTTTTTTTTAATACCTTCAGGCCTCTTCTGAAAAGAAAAGTTGCTTGACGAGTGTCTTTCTGATGGCTTAGTTTATTTCCACTCCTGGTAAAATTAGCTGGAATGTTATTTCTGCAACAAAAACACACATGCCATGAATAATCGGAGCCATTTAACTACTTTCAAACATCTTTAAAAAAGCAAAAATAGTTAAATTCATACGCTGAAAACTTGAGGTGCATGTAGCATAATTTTTAGGTTTTTGTTTTTCCTTTCAATTTAGTATAAAAATGATTTCAGCTTAAGAAGAATTAATGAAGAATTCTTTCTTTCTAGTTTGTTTCTTTCACAAATAGCATACGCTGTGATTCAGTGTTCTAGTAAGAGCCATCTAGAATGAGTAACAAATTCTGCTTTTCAGAATTTCCAATTGTGAGTAATTCTGACTGAGGTTATCAGCTTTTGCAAGAGAGGTAAAGAAGCAGAGTAATACTTTTTAAAAAGTTTAATTACTAAAATTAATCAATAACACTGCATCTAAGAAATAAGGAAGACATTACTGAATGTATCTATGTTGGATATTCAGATAGAATCTGAAATATCTGTCTTGAAAAAATGACTAGATAACTAGAAGAATCACTGCAAATCTATTCTTCTGAGAACCTAGTACAAGAAATGTTTAAGCAAGATAATAAGTTACTGTCTTGTATTTGAGTACTTACTTTCTGTTTAACTGGTTAGGTCTCTTGAGAACTGCAGCTGGTTTCCTTTGCACTTCATTTTGTCTCAGAAGGTTTGCTTTCCTTTTTAACACTGGAAAATATCGTTCTATATTCTTTCAGAAAGCAAGAAACTATGTTAATCAGACTGCTTTTTCCTATATGCCCTACTACAATAAACATTTATGATGCAGAATGAACAAGGATTGACAACTGCTTGAATATGTGAATGAGGGAGATGGAGAAACTTAAAACAACTGGAAATTTTCCAATCTAAGTGATCAAATAGATAAAAACCACATTACACTTAAAATACTTGAGGTATTCTGGGGGATCCACAGGTGATGAGGAAACATGGCTCTGGAGCTCAAGAGAAATATCAGAGAGCCAGAGATGTAAATTAGGGAATAATTTATATAAACATTTTTTTTTACACTAAGAAATAAAAAAACCAAGTTCCAAAACAAATTCATGAAAAAGAAAAAAGGGGAGGTTGTAACAGCAAAGAAGCTAGAGTAGAAATGGTTAGAAGAAAAAAAGGAAATTCAATATCATATAAAATGCAAGCCTATGAAATGTCCACTTTTTCTTCTTCCAAATATATAAATTAAATCCATCATTAAAGCCTAATTTAGTTTACCATATTTCCCATGAAGACTTTACTAAAGTCCCTGATAAGATGGACCACATCTGATACTTTATCTGGTTTCCTCTCTTATGCTAAGTATAATGATAGGTGTTTCATAAACACCCACTGACTAAATAATATAAAAACCACAGTCTTGGCCAGATAAGGTGACTCACACCTATAATCCCAGTACTTTGGGAGACTGAGGTGAGAGGATTGCCTGAGTTCACGGTTTGAGACCAGCCCTGGGCAACTTGGTGAGACCTTATTTCTACAATAAATAAAAAAATTAGCTGGGCATGGTGGCATGTGCCTGTAATTCCAACTACTTGGAAGGCTGAGGTGGAAGGATCACATGAATCCAGCAGGTTGAGGCTGCGGTGGCCATGAGCATGCCACTGCCCTCCAGCCTGGGCGACAGAGTGAGACTCCAACTCAAACAAAAAACAAAGCAAAAAAACCCCAAACACCGTAGTCTTCATTTTATGAAAATTTGGGGAAAAATACAAAAACAGGGATAAAGAGTATCAAGCGCACAGGAGAAAAGCTAAGAAGTCAGACAAATGGACCATTCTTTGCTTTCCATTGTGTTTTTAAATAACACCAAGGACCATTTTACAGTTAAATGTGACAGTTCCTTCTATAATGCTGTTGTCATGTAAAATATTGTTTACTCCTTCAAAGTTACTGCCATGTTATAATCATATAGTTATGTGTGATAATTTTATGTTTTTTTCAACCTTCTCCACTAGACTTGTATTCTCCATGAAGAAAGGGATTTTTTTTTTTTAAAGTCAGTCTTGCTCTGTAACCCAGGGTAGAGTACAATGGTGCAATCATATCTCACTGCAGCCTCGAACTCCTGGGCTCAAGCAATCTTCTCTCCTCAGCTTCCCCAGTAGCTGGGATAACAGGGGCACACCACCACATCAGGCTAATTTAAAAAAAAAAATTTTTTTTTTTACTTGAAGTCTCACTCTGTCGTCCAGGCTGGAGTGCAGTGGCATGCTCATGGCCACCGCAGCCTCAACCAGATGGTCTCAGGTGATCCTTCTGCCTCAGCCTTCCAACTAGCTGGATCTACATGCACGTGCCACCACACCCAGCTAATTTTTTGATTGTAGAGATGAGGTCTCATAAAGTTGCCCGGGCTGGTCTTGAACCTATGGGCTCAGGCAATCCTCTCACCTTGGCCTTGCAAAGTGCTGGGATCACAAGTGTGAGTCACTGTGCCTGGTCAAAGCGAGGGATGTTCCATTTAGTTCACTGCGGAATCCTTACTTAGCACACAGTGATGTAGTTTGTTCAATGATCAATGCATGGACTACTATAACAACTGATTAAAATGTAAGGCTGCATTGACTATGAGTGTGCCACTGCACTCCAGCCTGGGTGACAGAGTGAGACTTTGACCACCCCAAAAAAATAAAGGAATAAGTTTGTGTTTCACTATAATTTTTAATCACTATAATTTTGGTATAAAAAGTATTCCTCAAGGGTAATTATTTATTTTTAGTTTTTATGTGAATTTTCATTAAGGTATTATTTACATACAACAAAATTTTCAATGCACAGTTTGATAAATTAGGGTAACTACAAACAATTGTGTAAACACATCATAATCAGCCGGGTTTGGTGGCTCGGCTTGTAATCCTGCGCTTTGAGAGGCTGAGGTGAGTGGATTGTCTAAGCCTACGGGTTCGAGACCCGCCTAGGCAACCTGGCGAGACCTCATATCTACAATAAATCAAAAAATTAGCCGGGCGTGGTAGCTCATGCCTGTAGTTCCAGCTACTTGGAAGGCTGAGGCAGAAGGTTCGCCAGAGCCCAGCAGGTCGAGGCTGCGGAGGCCGGGAGCGTGCCACTGCACTCCAGTCTGGGCAACAGAGTGAGACTCCAACTCAAACAAAACAAAACAAAACAAAACAAACAAAACATATCATAATCAAGATATACAATAGTGCCTCTTCTCTAAAATGTTTCCTTGTGTTCTCTGTAGTCAATTTCCTCCACTCTTCTGACTCTCACCCAAGCAATGACTGATCCGTCAATATAGTTTTACCTTTTCTACAATTTCAAAGAAATGAAATACACAGTTTTCTTGTGTTTGACTTCTTTTGTTTAGCATGTATTGAGATGTACCCATGCTAACATGTAAATTAGTATTTTACTATTTTTTTATTGCTGAATAGTATTCCATACTATGGATACAATGTGTTTACCTGTCAAAATCAGACAAATAATCTAAAAACTACTCATTAATAGAAAACAACTGCTATATATACATATGCAGCAACCACAAATTTAAGTTTACAAAAGTACTTAAGGATTAGTATTATCAGAGTAAAGTTAAAAGTTCTACAGAACATAGCATACCCCTAATTTGGGGAAATTCTGAATGTAAAAGGGAAAAGTTACAAAATTGGCATTGACAAAGTAATATATTTCAGTAGATGAATTCCTCAGGAACTTAAACACAACTTTTATTTGACAGATATTTTTAAAGTGACTCTCCCAAATCAAAAGAAATATTTATTATTAGAGACAACAACTGCTCAGTTAGCACAGCCATCTGTTCCCCCAGTAAACTCTAGTAGTCTAAATGAGTATGCTATCTTTTCCCATTCCATTAGTCATTCACTTCATAGATGAGAAAATCTGGTACATTTTTATTGAAATAAGATCTCACTAAATCATATGGAAAGAAAGAGATAAAGTAATAGAACGCCTATTACTCAGAACATTCTTTAAGTGAAGTTTTTCTAAGTACAAACAGCAACTAAAGGTCAATTAAGCTATTTAGGTAACTTGCTTTAATGAATAGAAAAGGATGACAATATTATATACTTATATATATTTATATATAAGTAGAAACTATATTGCTGGAAAACAGTCTGCTTCACAAGTACTATATTATAATCTTACTCAGATTATTAATCTGTATTCAAGTTATATTGCTGGAAAACAGTCTGCTTCACAAGTACTATATTATAATCTTACTCAGATTATTAATCTGTATTCAAGTTGAATAAAGGGTTTTTAAGAAACAGTAAATTTCAAACCATACCTTTGCCAGAAATCATCACATTTACAGAGTTTGAATACATGAGATCTTACTATTTGGTACATTCTTAGCATTCATAATTTAACATTCACAATTTTAACTATTTTCAAACAACTCAAAACTCACTATCAAATGTGGTAATTTACAAACTTTTCAGGAGCAAGCTATTACCAGTTAAACTCATCTCCCTTCCAGCATCTACATTTCATTAATGTTTTCTAATCCCTGAATAAAAAGTAACTTCTATAAAAAAATTTTGAGCCGGGCTCGGTGGCTCAGCCTGTAATCCCGCGCCTTTGGGAGGCTGAGGTGAGTGGATTGCCTGAGCCCACGGGTTCGAGACTCGCCTGGGCAGCGAGACCTCATCTCTACAATAAATCAAAAAATCAGCCGGGCGTGGTAGCGCATGCCTGTAGTTCCGGCTACTTGGAAGGCTGAGGCGGAAGGATCACCGGAGCCCAGCAGGTCGAGGCTGCGGTGGCCGGGAGCGGCCACTGCACTCCAGTCTGGACGACAGAGTGAGACTCCAACTCAAAAAAAAAAAAAGAAAAAATTTTGGAGGGTAGGGCAGGTACTGGTGGTGGCAGAACTGAATAGTTAAGGGATCTAAGGCAGCTGTACTTCTAACCAGAACATGCAAGTTTAATAAAGAACATTCTGAAATTTTTTATCAGTATGTATTACTTTCATAAATCAGTGAAACCAAAGGAATTAAAAAATAGAAGAGACTATTAAATTCCTTGATAGCTCAGATCTACTATACATAAATGGAAGAAAAAACATTTGTGAAACTATTTCAAAAAATGCTTTAGCCAATTCAAAATCTACACATTAACATGTAAATAGAGCCTCAATTAAGAGTTGAAAAGTCGTTAACTTATGGCGGTAAATAAGTGTAACTCCAGTTACAAATATCACTTATGTCCATACAGACCTGCAGGTGAATGCTCACAGCAACATTTCTCAAAATATTCCAAAAATGCCAATAGCCAAAATGTCTACCAACTGGTGAAAGGATAAACAAAATGTAGTATATGTATATAATAAAATATTACTCAGCAATAAAAAGGAATGAAGTACTAACACAAGCTACATCATGAGTGAACCTCAAAAAAATTATGGCTAAATGCCACACTACACTTTTTTAAAATCAGGGTCTCACACTGTCACCTAGGCTGAAATGCAGAGGCATGATCACGGCTCATCCTAGTCTTAGCCTCCTGGGCTCAGGCAATCCTTCCACCTCAGTCTTTCCAGTAGCTGGGACCACAGGTGCATACCACCATGCATGGCTAATTTTTAAATTTTTTTTTTGTAGATACAGGGTCTTCCTATGTTGCCCAGGCTGGTTTTGAACACCTAGGCTCAAATGATTCACCTGCCTTGGCCTTCCAAAGTGCTGGGATTACAGACATGAATCACTGTGCCCAGTTGCCACACTACACATTATTATATGATCCCACTTATATAGAAAATCTACAAAAAGTAGATTAGTGGTTGCCTAGGGCAGACGACAGGGTTTGACTGTGAATGGGCATAAGATTTCCTTTTTGGGTGACAGAATGTTTTAAAACTAGACTGTTGTGGAGATTATACAACTCTGCAATATTCACCACATTGTATACTTAAAACGAGGATTTTATGGTATAAAAATTATACAATAAAGCTATTTAAAAAGTGTGTACACATACATACACACAAGGGAAGGCCAGAACTCTGTTAAAAAATTGAGATCGTGGAAATTTAGGTATTCTTCACAAATGGAAATGATTTTAATTTAGATATTAAACTTTTTATATCAGACCCCAAGCATTACATAAAAAATAAATCAAACTCATTCACAAAAATGTCAGTACAAATAAAGGAAAAGGGTATTTAATCCAGGATTAAGCCAACATCCTACCTTGTCACTTAAAGGTGGACGATCCATAGGACTAATTCCTTTTCGAATTCCAGTTGCTTTTCTGGCTGCAAGGCCAGTAATAACTCCATAAGGATGTCTCTTCCCGGGCATTACTCTTCCTCTACGGCTCAAACTAGTCTTTCCAAAACCTATAGGATGGAAAAAAAAAAGGAAGAAAAAAATCAATTTAAGGACAGAATTGGGAGGTTCACAGACTATTCAATTCCTCGAGGAGAGTGGGGAACATGAGTATTTTATTATATTATTTTTCAGTTTATTAAATATTCCTTTGAATTACATAAAATATTTCATTTTAAAAAGGCAGTAAGCTGCAATGGGGAGGGATCTGTGGCTGTACTAGACTGCAAAGGACTAGAGGATTCTCACATGTCCCTATCTAGCCTTCTCCTCTTTGTCATTACTTTCTCAACAAATAGGATAGTACAGACATTACCTGGACAATATCATAGATACTAACCAAACATGGCTATTGAGTACTTCAAGTATGACTAGTCTGAATAGAGGTATTTAAAATAAAAAAATATATACACTATTTCATTAATGGTTTTATATTACCGGGCTCGGTGGCTCAGTCTATAATCCTGCGCCTTGGGAAGCTGAGGTGAGTGGAGTGCCTGAGCCCGCGGGTTCAAGACCCGCCTGGGCAAGTTGGTGAGACCTCATCTCTACAAT